ATTTCAATAACTTTTAAGTGTCCAGAAGCTCAACGATTATTCACGTTTACAATACCTCCTCGTGGTCAGGAAAGACAATGCAATGAATTTGCTTTTCAAGCTCTTCGCTTTATTCAGGTTTAATTAATTGCCGTCTACTTATCAAAGAATTTCATCTTCTTATTATCATTTTACAATTTCACTGCTGTTAATTTATAAAATAATCCGTGAATTATGCTTCTGAGATAATTATTCTATGGAAAAAATTTTTTTTAATGCTCGCAAATAAAAAAGTTTCAAATAAAATGATGTTCTACCATTGCACAAGTTTGTTTCAAGAAAAAGTATAGCAGGAAAATACTACCCTATATAGTTTGATTTTACAGATTCTGGAAAGCGGTATAAATAATCTGAATAATTTGAAAGCAATAGAGCCAATTTTGGATAATTTAGGACGAAGACACGGCAAGCTTAAATCCAGCGTCGGCTTTCGACCGTATTATTGGTGTGAAAATTACTTGATATCGTAATTGCTTAATAAAATTTTTGATTCCTAATGAAATACTTGTCCTAATGAAATACTGTCCTAATAAAATCCGTAATTATTCCGTTATTACTGATTTTCTCTTTCATCACTTTTTGCATTATATCTGATAACAGTGCAAAGTATGCAATGAAAACCATTGTACTTAAGGACAGTATTTATGGAATGTACAATACATCACTTAAGATTGGCCTTCCTCAATTCAAAAGTGGATCAGTGGAGTCATAAAGATATAGATAATGCAATCATGTTGTGGAGACATTTGATTTTAGGAATTTGTCAAAGAATCAAGGTTAAAATCGTTCTAATTTTTTGTTACATTCATGAAAGCAAGAAAAAACACTCGTGCTTTGCTGTATTTTAGCTTGAATGGTAAATAAGCTTTACAAACTAAATATTTTTGTTTTCTATTTTTTGGCAATGTTTAATACGCACAAAACTTTGAAAAAATTAGGTTTCCATGTTTAAAATGGAAATTTATTTAGAATGGCTTAGGGATGTTTCCTTGAATAACTTTCAAACTTTATTGTATTTTTAATAATCAAACATTCGGGATAAAAGTTTTCAGAGCAATCAAGTTTTGAGATAAAACTATTTTTCTAATTCCCGATTTTCTGCCAACTACTTTCGTTCATAAATTAAAATTCAGTTGTAATTTAAAAGAGTGTTTGATGTTTCATTTAGCTTTTTAACTTAAAAAAAAATAAATCTTAACAGTTTTCAGGATGGATACCTGAAGGATATAGCAAATAGATCAAACATGAAAACGACTTACACGTTATTAGCAAATGAAAGACTTCCAGAAACGCCAACTATTTCCAAACCGAAGGTAGAAAATGCAGGCAAGTCGTGATCTAACATTTACCATATATTTAAATATCAAATTACTTGTCTCTTAAAAAATTTGAGGTCAAATGAAATCTATGCATAGGAAGATGATTACAGCTGTGCTAGATATCAGTTATTTTTATTTGATAAATGGGTTCTGAAATTAAATAATTCGAATGATACTAAAGTATATCGCAAACCTTTCATTAAAAGCACAGCCAAGAATGGTCAAGTCAGTTTGATCATTAAAAATAATGCAGGAGAAGCATAAGACCACGCTTTTAACTCGAATCAGTAGCTATCTTAATTCGGTCTTATTAAGATTTATTCTAACATTTCGCAAGAAATTTTAATCTATAAATGATGTAAATTTCAACTATTAGATTTAACAGTTTCAACTGCTCTAGTTTTCGTTTAAGTCTAGTAAATTGTACCAATTCTTGTAAAGAATTTTAAAAAATTTCTTGTCATTAACTGGTATTTAAATAAATTAACAAAGGGTATCCGTCATAAGTTATTTTCAAAACAGAAAAGAGATCAAGCAATACTTTGTCTCAATTACAGAAGCAATTGAATAGAACAAACTGTTATGTCTGATGGCATATTTTTCAGTGAATGCAATAGGAATGTCCCTGCATTTCAACTTTTCTAGATGGTTGTTTCCATGTGGGAAAAGCGATGATTAATGCGTGAATCGTCGAGAGAATCCTATTACTATTACAAAACAAGCTTTAATTTGACGCAGAGCAATGTAAATCTGTACTTAATGCTGATATTATTTTCATAACATTGATTACGTAATCTATTTAATATCACCTGTAAAGTGTTGAAAGCCTTCAAATTTTTTCGTAAAGAAAGGTCTAACGTTAGTTTCAGTTGTGTAGTAAATAAGTGACAGTTGAAAGCCTTATATGCTAAAATTTTGGTTTTTGAGAATTTTTTTAAAAAATTCAATTTTTTAATAAAATGAATTTGTTTTTGAAAATGACATATACAAATTTTGGTTCAACACGAAGACTTCTGCACTGGAGGTAAAAAATCGAAGTTCAGTGATTCGTTTTATGGATTCTATTGAATCATATTTTAAAGTTATTTTAATATATAAAGGTGTGAAGAGGCTTTGTTCGTAATGCTGAATCATCATACTTTGAAATGTCATGTATGTGCATATAATTACGAAGGTCAAGAATCTTCAGAGCGATTGTAATAGATGAATTAAACTTCTTCAAATTCTGGGCACTTGTAAAGCAATCTTGTAAACTGTAGATTTGCTGAATGAAAATTGAAAAGACTGAAATTTTTCTTTCAGTCACTAACATTAAATAACTTCAGCCTTTCTGAAGGATTACACAAAAAAAGGATGCTAAGAAATATTTTATGGTCAGAAAAAGTTTTTGTTGCGGAAAATTTGAGCTTCTCGATAATTAATGGAAAAGTTTCGAAAATTATCGAATAATATAGTCACCTCCTCTGATAGAAAAGATTTTGTCTAACCAATTGTTCCGGTGTAATTTATACTTAATTAAAAAACTATATGAACTTAAATTGCTTTTCATCTAACAGCTATTTATAGGCTATAATATCATTAAACAATTTTGCTCTCTGTCAAAAGCAGTTAAAAACCTGACAGGTTTACATTATCATTTATCACTAAATGATGGATGCAATGAGAAATCATCTCATTTAAATGCACTATTTCACTTGTACGTTTGGGTGTTCAAACTGAACGGAACTTACGAAACAACAAAAATTCTGTGAATATCATCCAGTTTTTACAAATACTAAATAGAGAGGAATAAAAGCATTTTCAACATATTAATTGTAAAATCTGATCAAAAGTGATAAGATATTAAATTTTCGGAAGGTAACGAAAAGGTGAATGTGCAAAAAATTACTTGCATAAAGAATTTCAGTGATGCAAATTTTTTCCATCGAGAAAATGACAATACAGAACTAACTCAATTGATAAGGGACAATATTTCTGTTCCTCCCATGAATGAAGTGGTGAAGAGGTCATTCTAGAAGAGTACTTTAGAAATCGGATTCTTTGTTGAAACTGACATCGGATAGGCTTTCCTCTTAGCCAGCGTTGAACCAAAAGGAGGCATCCACTTGAGTCCAAGCACGGATTTCACTCCAATTGTGTAAATAAACTAAAAAATATCAAGTCTCTTGATAGACCTTATCCAACACTCGTTGTACTATGACAACATTATATTGAACTATCCATCGAACAGCTGTGAATGAATCTGGAAGGAAAAAAGAAATAAGAGAACAGTTTCGACAGATGTAAAAGCTTGATGCTTCACAACCATCAAAAGAGCATATATAATAATTGTTTGTGAAGAATAATAGAGAATCTGATTTTAAGAGCATAGCAGCAATAAATGCGGTCAGATGATGGTATTAGTTAAATCTTTTGTAACACATACAGAATTTGCGTCAGGTTTTTAGTAGATGATTTCAATTCAGTTAATGATTATCTAGAATGGGATACAGTAACTGAACTTTTTTATGCAACAGGTTTTTCTTACATTGCTCAGAGATAGATAAAATTTCTTTTATAGATTTTTGTGCATAATGGCTGCGTTATCTCCTACAGCAAAAGCCATACAGCAGATTTTTCTGGAAATTTT